TGAATAACCCATTAACAAGGTTAACAATATACCAAAAAGTAAACAACCAGTGACAGCATACAAAGTTTGAGAAACTGAAGTAAACCTACAGAAACGTAAAATAATTCAAGAAACCAATACTACACACAGGAAATGAAAAACGAGAATATATTTAATAACTTAAGAGGAAAATATATACCAGGAACATCAAGATTTATGAATACTACACACAGCTAAACTGATAACAAAGAAACAATGTTACAATCTCACTGAAACTGTTACATATAAATTCCAACATGCAGATACGACTAACATACGTTCTTCCCTATTTAGGTGGGTTCTTGGATTGTTTTCTTGGCTGGGATTACGGTTGTAATCTGTAAAAAAAAACACACACACAAAAAAAACAGATTAGAAATGAATAAAAAAACATTAGATATACTTAACATCTAGAAAGCAAAACTACCACAAGCAGGCAAAACCATTATAATCGGGAAGGAATCGGGGAGGCTGGGATAGGCTCTATTGCTACGTGGTTATGTTCATCCTTAAAAAAAGAAAGTTTGCAGATCATAGATTCCTGCAAACTCTATTTAGTCCTCCAGGAGGCATTACCACCTAGCAAAACTAATTTTTTTGTCTCCCTTTAAGTATACTATGAAGCCCTCATGGGGTCTGGGGCAGCTATGGCTCTGATATATGGATTTGGATTAACTCAGCTCCTCTAGCTGCCAAGGCTAAAGACAAAAGAGAAGCCAACTTAATAGCAGTCCATCATAAATCAATCTTAGCATTGTCCAAGAAATTAAAGAAATGTAATAAGGTCTATATCCCAAGTAGATATGGAACATGGAGTAAATGTGCGGCAGACTGATAACGGATCAGTTTCGCACCGGGGCCCCATGGATTGTGTGTACGCCACTGCCCAGAATGGAATTTAAAGGAAAGGAATTCTAAAGCTAAGGAAATAATGTCTTACCCTGGTCCTGCATCTTAATGATGAATTAATAATGTTTAACACCTGATTTGATAAAAGGGGATGCATTAACAGCCTACCAGGGTTACAATCCACATCAGCTGCAGGAGTTTGAGTAAAAGGTTGCTGGTTCCCTGAAAACACTCTGACATCAAACCCAACAGAATCTTGGTTCCCTTGACTAACTGATGGATCAGGGGATACCAAGGTCTTGAGATCCAGACTGGGTAAACGAGAACTAAACTTGGCACCCTGTCCTTGCGGATCTTTTCCAGCACTTTCATCAGTAAAGATGGAGGAGGAAAAGCAAAAAGGGCTGGAGCATCTCTCCACTGAAAAGACATTGCATCCATTTTCCAAGCCCCCTTTGTCCAAATTCTGGAGACAAACCTTGGAGTCTGTGCAGAAGTCTGAAATGCAAACAGATCTACTTATCTCTGGCCAAAATTGCTTTCTATCCATTAGAATAAAGCGATCTTTAATTTAATTGTCTGGCGAGAATCTGCCAGCTCGTTAGCCTCGTCCAGAACGAGTTCTGCAAAAACCTGAACTTTGTTTGCCAAAGCCCAAAACCAAACCCCTCTATGGTTTATATAAGCCACAGCTGTGCTGTTGTCCAATTGGACTTTTACAGACACCGGTAACTCATTTAGAGGAACTAGGCCCTGGAGCACTAACTTAATTCCTCTTTTTTACTTTCTGGGCTGTAAATGCACCCCAGCTGTGATTTGATGGAATCTAGCATTATAGTAACCACAAACGGCTCCTCTAACAGGGAAAGATGAATTTCTAACCTTAGAAAAGTCTTCAACTCTTCTCTGACCTTCTTGAGGAGAACAAATGTTGATTCCCATTGGCTCCCTTTTCTTATATGGTTAACTAAAACAGCTGACTTCATCTGCAAAGCAAAGGGGAATCATCATAGCTTTGTGTTAAGGCTATTAACTCCCCGATGACCTTTGCCAGATCTCTCAAGGACCAACTCTGGCGCCTGGGAGATAAGGTCAGATGTACCAATAACTTGTCCCATTTGTCCTGAGGGATTCCTAGTGACATGGTCTTGGTGTTCAGTACTAAACCCAGAAAGAGAATACTCTAAGTGAGAACTAGGACTGATTTCTGTAAATTGACTGCAAATCCTAGGTATTGTAAAAGGGAAGAGAGATAGTCCCTTTGAGAAGCAAGAACTTCCCATCTGGATTCATTAGAAGAATGTTGTCTAGGTAGTAAAGACATATGTAGTCTGACATGGTCTATAACAGATTTCATAATTCTGGAGAATGTGTGTAATGCATTGGATAAGCCAACCACCATAACAAGCCAATGCCAAATCTTTCTTTTCCATAGAAATCTGAGGAAACGACATCCCCGCTGAATGAAGCCAGCAGGTTCTGGGTATGTTTGTGATATAATTAAAGGATTGTCCAATGATCCGCACAGCCCTGCTGGAAGATTTTAATAACTTAGATGCCAGCAAAGATGAAGCAGAAGGATCCTGGGCAGTGCCTTCTCTTTCTGTTTCAAACAGCATCAATAATAGGTGGCCCACAACATCAGCCATTTTAAACTGAATATTCCAAAAAGTCTGGTCTGTGGGATCTATAGACACACTGCCCAATGTGATAGATAACAAAGCAGGATCTACTCCAGGAGCCAATAAAGTCTGGATGTCTGGGATACTGAGAAGTCGATCATCTTCCTTAACTAAAGGGGGTCTAAAAGCTAGTTTAGTAAAAATCTCTGACCTCAGAATCATATTCAAAAGCCGATCTGGGGTGAAATAATTTAGACAGGAGAGTATTTTCCAGGAGACTCACTCTAGCAATCTGTAGAACTTCCCTTGCTCAGTAGAAGCTGCTGAATGGACCACCTCCTCAGACTCACAATCTATTTCTAGAGAATCGTGTCTAGAACTAGATCAGCTTTAAGAGGATGAATGAGCAAATTCCCCGCAAGAGGAAGGAATATCAAACCTCCAATGATATTTGTCCATTTTCTCTGAAAGGTGCGTCTGGTGCTCAAACAAGGTAAACACGCACTCTTCTTCTTATGGGAATTTACCCATTAATTTCTTGCTTACTCAAACAAGTATGAGGGGAAGGAGGAGAGGAGAAATATTCCTCAGATCAAGAACTTGCAGAAGAAATCAGGCTTCTTTGCTTATTTTGCATTTTATTAGAAATTGGAACAAAATCCTACTCCTCAGAAGAGGAGGATAGGAGCTTTTTAACTTTGGTGAGGCTTTCTCTAGAGGAGGTATTCACCATATCTGTGGCAGACACAGAAATAGAGTCATCCATCAACTATGAAATTTTAAAAATCTAAAATAACCAGGACTCTTGTGCTCTGCATGGCTGCTCTGATTACCGGATTGACTGAACCGCGGCTGCTGTGCACAAGCTGCACTGCACAATCATTTTTTCAGCTCTGGCAGTTACCCTCTGGGAGGCTACCACATACCCACTAGCTTAGGTGGTTATTCCTCCAAGGGACAAATAATTACATAACGTAAGCCTTCTTGCCAAAGTCGAGGCAAACCTCTCCAGTAATGTGTAGTTAAAACATTGACATTTATACCTTTACTGTAGACTGCACATAGCCTTGGAATAAATGTATGTATAAATAATTAAATACAATAAGTTAATTGGATGATGGAGTGAAGCGCCTTAAGGTGCTCATCTGTAAATAAATCCACAAGTCATAAAAACTCTAAAGAAGGTTTTGTAACTACCACCAAGACAACCTGTAAATAAGATTGTGAGGAACTGACTCTGCTGGGTTTCGAACCCTGGTTTACATGGTGCTAAACCTTTTCCTTACCAGTACACCAGCCTGCCTTTTGCAAATTTACCTGAGATCTGATACTATTGCTTGTAGAGTCAAGGTTATCAGTGACAACTCACTTCAGCTGTGTCTGGTCAGGTGTCTGGTTCTTGGCCTATAAAAGCCACTTCCTGTCTCTGTACCTTTGCCAGATTATTGTGGTTCCTGTACTCTCTAATCCAGCGTGTTCCTGTTTCTCCTTCCTGTTGCTGAATTTGGACTGTTTTTGACTTTGCTGCTTCTCCTTCCCACTGACCTCGGCTTGCCTCACTACGATTATCATCTTTCTGTTCCAGTCTCCCATCTCTGCTTAAGACCAGAAGGCCACTCAAGGCTCAGGGGCTCAACCACCTGGGTAACGAGTGGCTACCTCTGGCAGAAAACATTGCTGATCTGGCTACTGGACTCCAAAACTTTGTAACATCAATATCATTACAGAATAATCTGGCCCATTCATGGAGACCGTCGGATCAGATTCTGCATTGGCCCAGCAGGTTGCTTTTAATGCAAGAACTATGCAGACCCAGGCACAGACCATTCAAGTGCTGCAGGATCAGGTAGCTGAACTGCAAAATGAAGTTCGATCAATGCATAGTGAGCTTACCAGCTACAGGGCACATGATGTTGCGGCTGCTGCTACTACTACTGTTACACCTGCACAAGATGCCCGCTTGCCTCTACCAGAAAAATTTGGAGGAGACCGCAAAAAATTCAGGGGTTTCCTAAATCAATGCCGTTTGCATTTCATGATGTTACCTAACCGTTTTCCATCTGAAAGAGAGAAGGTGGGATTTATTTTTTCCCTCTTCAAAGATGAAGCCCTGGCCTGGGGCTCCCCTTTTCTGGAACAGGACAGTCCAATCTTGGGAAATTTAAAAGACTTTCTTGAGGCCATGTGCCTAGTTTTTGATGATCCCAATCGCTGTGCTACAGCAGAAGCCACTCTCCTTCATTTACATCAAGGGAGGCGCTCTGTGGCTGAATATGCTGCTGAATTCAGACAGTGGGTTACTGATACTACTTGGAACCAATCAGCCCAGAGGTTCCACTTCAGAAGGGGTCTCTCAGAAGCTATAAAAGATGAGCTAGCTCGTGTTGATCTTCCTGTTGAGTTTGATGCATTTGTGCGGTTGGCTATCCGTATTGATCGGAGACTTTCAGAAAGAAGATTGGAAAGACAGGGCTCTTTTAAACCAAGTGCTACTCCTACTTTCTATTCAAGAATTTCTACTCCGACCCCACAAACACCTACAGACTCTGAACCTGAGGCTATGCAGGTAGATCTAATAAGAGGGCCATTATCCAATGAAGAAAAACAGTGGCGACGCACTCACAACTTATGCCTGTATTGTGGTAGTGCAGGGCATTATGCCATCAATTGCCCTAACAAGTCTAAAAGAACAATAGCTATGACTGCTGAGGGTGCACAGATTCAACACCAATCCCAGATTTCAGACCAACTGGATTCTGTCACACAACCCTTGTTTTCTCTGGCTCAGGGTGAAGAAGGTATGATGACTCAACATCCTCATTTGGTGGTGCCTATCACTTTGCAATATGGTGATAATAAAATTTCAACTACAGCTATGATAGATTCCGGAGCAGGCGGAAACTTTATGGACATTAAATTTGCAGCAGGAAATAAAATTCAGTCTATCCCTAAATCTTCACCTGTGTTAATGGAAACAGTAGACGGTTCTCCACTTACGTCAGGCCCGGTTACACATGAGACTGTGCCCTTAAAATTGATTCTGGAAGTGAATCACCATGAGTCTATATCTTTCCACCTAATTTCCTCAACACAGTTTCCAGTGATTTTGGGTATACCCTGGCTTGCTCTGCATAACCCACAGATTGATTGGAAGACTAGAACTTTGTCCTTTCCTTCAGAACACTGCTTAATGAATTGTCAACCCTCTAAGGCGACACCTGTTACCACAACAATTAATGAAATGGTTGCTACAAACTTAACTAAGCTTCCGCTACAATATCGGGATTTTGCAGATGTCTGTGATAAGAAGAATGCTGATCAGCTTCCACCTCACAGGCCTTATGATTGCCCCATAGAGCTGCTACCTGGAGGTGCTATCCCATTTGGCCGTATATACTCCCTTTCTGAGCCTGAATTGAAAGCACTTCGTGAATACATACAAGAAAATCTTGCCAAAGGCTTTATTCGACCATCCACTTCTCCAGCAGGAGCTCCTATATTCTTTGTAGAAAAGAAAGATGGCAGTCTACGGCCATGTGTCGATTACAGGGACATTAATAAAATCACTGTTAAAAACCGTTATCCCTTGCCTCTCATTTCTGAACTTCTGGAGAGACTTCGTTCAGCTAAAATATTTACGAAGCTTGATCTACGGGGGGCATATAATCTGGTTCGCATAAGACCAAATGATGAATGGAAAACAGCTTTCAGAACCAGGTACGGACATTACGAATATCTAGTAATGCCATTTGGGCTTTGTAATGCCCCTGCAACTTTTCAGCATCTAATCAATGATGTACTACGGGATCTCCTGGATCAGTTTGTTGTGGCATATTTGGATGATATCCTGATATTTTCTGATAATCTTGAAAATCACAGAAAACAGGTCTGCATTGTTCTTGAGCGCCTTCGTACCCACCACCTATACATTAAACTGGAAAAATGTGAGTTTGAACAAACAGAAATTCATTTCCTGGGGTATGTAATAACTCCTAAAGGTTTAAGTATGGACGCAAGTAAAATTAAATCTGTGCTGGACTGGCCCATCCCCAAGAATGAAAAAGATATACAGAGATTTGTGGGGTTTGCCAATTTTTACAGGCGTTTCATTAAGAATTTCTCTGTTATTACACCGATCACTGAACTTACACGTAAAGGGACTCCTTTTCAGTGGTCCAATAAGGCTGACACTGCATTTTCCAGATTAAAGACTCTGTTTACATCTGCCCCTATCTTGGTACATCCTCAGCCAGAATTGCCATTTACTGTAGAGGTAGATGCTTCTGATTCAGCTGTTGGGGCTATACTGTCTCAAAGGACTGGACCTAAGATGTTGTTACATCCATGTGCCTTCTATTCCCGCCAGATGTTACCAGCAGAAAGAAATTATGACATAGGGAATAAAGAACTTTTGGCTATAAAAGCTGCCTTCACCGAATGGAGACATCTCTTGGAGGGAGCCACCCATCCAATTACTGTCCTCACAGATCACAAAAATCTGGAATGTATCCAATCCGCTAAGAGACTGTCAGCCAGACAAGCACGCTGGTCCCTATTTTTCTCAAGGTTTAATTTTTTTATTTCATACCGCCCTGGTTCCAGAAATGGCAAGGCGGATGCCTTGTCTAGGATAGCTGACCCCCTCCATACTACAGTAACCAAGGCCACCATCTTGCCGGAGAGCAGATTTTTAGGAGTTACCTTTCCTTCTGATCTAATGTCTCGCATTAAAAAGGGCTACTCTAAAGATCCAGTTTTTCGTGATCCTCCTCGTGATCTTCATATGACCATGCTTAATGGGTTTTGGATTTTTCAACAACGTCTGTTTGTTCCAGAATCAGTGCGACTGGACGTTTTACGCCTCTACCATGACTCTAAACCAGCAGGTCATCCAGGAATCCGAAAGACACAAGAACTACTTACCCGATCCTTTTGGTGGCCTAAATATTATGAGGATGTTAAGAAGTATGTGTCCTCTTGTGATGTATGTGCCAGACATAAGACTCCTCGCTCATCCCCTGTTGGCTTGCTTCAGCCTCTTCCGATTCCTCATCGTCCCTGGGGATCTATATCCATGGACTTTATTGTGGAACTACCTCCCTCTAAGGAACACACTACTATTCTTGTTGTTGTGGACCGGTTAACCAAGATGAGTCATTTCATACCAGCTCGTGGTCTCCCTTCAGCTAAACAGACTGCTGACCTTGTTATTCGGGAAATATTTCGCTTGCATGGAGTGCCTGATGAAGTAATTTCTGACAGGGGAGTGCAGTTTACATCTCATTTTTGGAAATATTTTTGTTCTATTCTAGGTATTAATGTAAATCTGTCTTCAGCTTTTCATCCACAAAGTAATGGACAGACTGAGCGAACCAACCAGACTTTAGAACAATATTTGCGGTGCTATATTAGTTACCTGCAGGATGACTGGCTGGATTTTCTACCCACGGCGGAGTTTGCCTATAACAATGCCCAACACTGCTCCACTTCTCTGAGCCCATTTTTTGCCAATTATGGTTACCATCCAACCTTTCTAGTGAGTCTCCCAATTACTACTCCCATTCCTGCAGTCACTGACCGGCTAACCGCCTTACGAGATTCCCAAGAACTGTTGAAGGAGACTCTTTCGGAGGCTCAGGAATGTTACAAAAGAGCTGCTGATAGGCACAGAAAGGAGGCCCCAGTTTATCATGTTGGTGACAAGGTTTGGCTGTCAACAAAGAATCTTAAGCTTAGGATTCCTTCTCATAAATTGGGTCAAAAGTTCATGGGACCTTTTAAGATAATCGCTCAGATCAATGCAGTCACCTTCCGTCTGCAACTTCCGGATTCCATGAAAATACATCCGGTATTTCACGTGGCACTGCTTAAACCTTTTCATGAAAATACTTTCCCTGGTCGAGCCTTGCCTGCCCCACCAGCAGTCCTCGTGGATGGTGAAGATGAATACGAGGTGGAAAAAATTCTTGACTTCAGGATCTTCCGCAACAAGCTCCAATACTTGGTTCATTGGAAAGGCTATGGTGAGGAGGATAGATCGTGGGAACCAGTGGACAATATTCATGCTCCTGATCTTCTTCAGTCTTTCCATGCACAGTACCCTGCTAAACCAGGAAATAGGGCATCCAGAGGCTGCACCTGTAGAGGTGGAGGTAATGTGAGGAACTGACTCTGCTGGGTTTTGAACCCTGGTTTACATGGTGCTAAACCTTTTCCTTACCAGTACACCAGCCTGCCTTTTGCAAATTTACCTGAGATCTGATACTATTGCTTGTAGAGTCAAGGTTATCAGTGACAACTCACTTCAGCTGTGTCTGGTCAGGTGTCTGGTTCTTGGCCTATAAAGCCACTTCCTGTCTCTGTACCTTTGCCAGATTATTGTGGTTCCTGTACTCTCTAATCAAGCGTGTTCCTGTTTCTCCTTCCTGTTGCTGAATTTGGACTGTTTTGACTTTGCTGCTTCTCCTTCCCACTGACCTCGGCTTGCCTCACTACGATTATCATCTTTCTGTTCCAGTCTACCATCTCTGCTTAAGACCAGAAGGCCACTCAAGGCTCAGTGGCTCAACCACCTGGGTAACGAGTGGCTACCTCTGGCAGAAAACATTGCTGATCTGGCTACTGGACTCCAAAACTTTGTAACATCAATATCATTACAAAGATATTTTAACTATCTATAGCTGCATGTGTCAACGTCAATTATGCACATGTATTGTTTAGCATTTTCCTCTTTTTTTCGGCTTCAGAAAAAGAGTTTGAGATGGTGGTCACACCTGTTTGTCATACTGGAATAGAAACCTGGGTTCTGCTCTTCCATTCTTACATCCCAGTCATGCAGTTGAGAATGGAATCTTTAACATTCTACTGTTATCCAATATTAGATCACACATCTACTGATACCTCCATAGCAAGAGCTACTGTTATTCCATATTAGATCATTACTACAAACACACTAATATTGTATATTTTTAGAATTATGTAGAACTTCACAAGAAGAATAGCAAGTGAGGATCATTGGAAAACTTTCGCAGAGTGCCATATCAAATATGTTAAAAACAAAATCAAGTACTGTATTATATTATGGAAAAATAAAACAAATAGTGCATTTTTGGTAAGCACTGTTCTGTATCACCTCATAGATCTTAAGATTTAAAATGCTTTTCCTGACCACAAGAAGAGAGAGAATACAACTTAGATTGATAGTTCTAGACACCATCCATCTGAATTGGTTAAATATTCCACAACGCAAAAAAAATGTGCTGTAGTTAGAAAATATTCTTTAACTCATCGCTTTAGATTTATCTTTTTATGCCTTAGGCACAAGGAGATAGAATGACTGCTTGATGGTCCCATGTTGATGGATCGAGCCTTTTAAGTGTGGCCTGTGAATTGGCAAATCATTTCTTAAATGTTAAATCCCCAGTGCTTCTTTTTGGATTACCTGAACAAAGAAGTTCCAGATCTGTGACTGCTTGAATCATTACTGTCTGAGAACCCCCATGGATTTGTAGATATGCATTTTTCATATGTGGCTGAAAAACGGTCTTTATCAATATCCTTCTTGGTAAAGCAACTAGCATATAAACAATGTGTGTTATAAGCACTAGGGCATTCTACTGTCACCCAGTAGTGATTGGCTCTCTGACAGGCAGAGTAAAAATAGGCATGTTTTTCTCTCTCCCAAAAGAGTTTCTCATAAATCCAAACATCTGGTGAATAAAAAAAAAAAAATAAATAAAATGCAATTATAATCTTAAATGGGTGAATTCTACCGTGTCTATTGGCAGATATGATGAATGCATGTAAATGGAATCTGCAATCTTACAAATTTATATGTATATAATTGTAATTTCAACTGCAAAAATGACAAGTATTTCAAAGTCTCATATAATGCAATGAAATGTTTTTTGGGTCAAAAAACTCTATATTTCTTTAAAATAAATCTTGAACACTTGCATCCCATCTTTTCAAAAGTTACCTATTAAATGTTAATGTAAGATAAAACCCTATTAAAATTGAGTTTTTAAACCACAGGAAGTTATAAGGTAGGATAAATATATGTTCTTCTATCTGACCACCATCTGCTGACTTTTATATATACACAGGACCCAACTGACACCACCTTCGGAACATCAATCTCATAGAAACCTCCAATGTCTTGACCTAAAGCAATTCTCCACTAACCTTCAAACTCTCCTGTTACCTATCTAAAACCTCACCTTCCCTAGCTCTGCCACGACCTTCTACAATACTACCCTTCCACCCTTGATAAAGGCTCAGATAGGAGCCGAAACCTTGTCTTCACTTCCTTGTTTTAAATAACGACTGCCTTCTAACAGCTTCTTCTCATCCTCCATAATCTCAGTCTCCAAAATATTGCTCTCTCTTGGTGCTCCTCCTACCTCTCCCAGCACTCTTTTGTTTCTTTTTCTGGCTCTGCTTCTTCTTTGCAATCCATCTCTGTTGGTGTTCCCCAAGGTTCAGTCCTTGGTCACATCGTGTTCTCGATCTTTACTGCCTCCCTGTCACACCATGCCATGTTCTGCAGAGAAGTCTGGTTATGTCCATGTTTCCCTCATGTCTTGTGTTCTGGGTTTAGCTTCCTATCCTTCTCTGGTTCTGGGTTCTACTAGTTCTGTCTTGTTTTCATGTTTGGTGACTATCCTAGCCTTGCCTTGTTTCTGTACTGGATACATTCCTGCTGCAGAGCCTCCCTATCTAGTTCCTAGGAGGTCTGTATATCATATCATCCTAGCTCTTGGGATCCGCAGTAGCTGTATCAGGAACCTGGTATGTGGCCGCACAAACGCTGGTGCTCAACACCAGGGGGCTTGCGGTTACCCTGCACCAGGTCCTGATAATCCACTTCCACGCTGGAGACTCCCAACTTTTCCTCAGGTACTCAGGGGTCCCGGTTTCCGTACCGCCACCCGTGACACTCCCTTGGTAAACCCATCAGCTTCTTTGGCTTCCAAACTAATTTCTATGTGGGTGACATGAGAATCTATCTGTCCTCTCCTGATCTCTCTCCGCCCCTCTTCACTAGGGTTTCTGACTGCCTCTCTGACTCAAAACCATAGCGTGCATGTGCCCCTACTTAATGCCAGACACGGCTACAATTCTGGTCCATGTCACTGTCCTCTCTCTCCTTGACTACTGTAGTCTGCTTCTCAGTGGTCTTATGGGCTCCCAACTTGCCCCATTACAGTCTATAATGAATGTGGCGGCGAGGCGCATCATCCTGTCCTATGCCTCACCGCTCTGTCAGTCCCTGCATTGGCTTCCTGTAAGATATAGGGCTCAATTTAAAATTCTGGTTCTTGCTTTAAAATCTTTTCATAATGAATTCTGCTCCCACCTATCTATCTTCCCTAATACAAAAGTATGTCCTATCTAGGCACTTACGCTTTGCCAAAGACCTACGTCTCTCCTCTGTTTGTATTCCCACCTATGATGCTTGCCTTCAAGACTTCTCAAGGGCTGCAAAGTTCTTGTGGAACTCCCTTCCCTTCTCTGTTAGATGCTCACCTAGTCTCCACTCCCCCCAAAAATGATCAAAAACTCACTTCTTCACAAAAGTAAATCAATTAAACTGTTAATTACTCCCAATTTATTCCTCTCCTGCAACTGGCATTTAAAAAAAAAAAAAAAGCACAAGTCTTCATTGATTACTATTCTACCAATCTACATCTCTAATACTATCTTTACCTTTTGTGTCACTCTACCCCACTCCCTCTAGCATGTAAGCTCATTGAGCAGGGTCCTCAACCCCTCTGTTCCTGTGTGTCCAACGTGTCTGGTTACAATCACATGTTTGTTAGTCCACCCACTACGGAATTTGTTGGTGCTATATAAATAATAATAATCCAATTTTGGATGGTATTGACAAAGCTAGATTATTATTATGTTATTATTTATATAGCGCCATCAAATTCCGCAGCGCTTTACAATGGGTGGACGAACAGACATGTAGTTGTAACCAGACAAGTTGGACACACAGGAATAGAGGGGTTGGGGGCCCTGCTCAATGAGCTTACATGCTAGAGGGAGTGGGGTAAAGTGACACAAAAGGTAAGGATAGTATTAGACTAGTGACAGTTGCAAGAGAGGAATCAGTTGGGAGCTATTAACAGTTTAATTGATACGCTTTTATGAAGAAGTGGGTTTTAATGATTTTTTGAAGGAGTGGAGCCTGAATGAGCATCTAACGGAGGAGGGAAGCGAGTTCCACAGGAACGGTGCAGGCCTCGAGAAGTCTTGAAGGTGAGCATCAGAGGTGGGAGTACGGACAGAAGATAGACGTAAGTCTTCAGCAGATCGTAAGGGACTTGACGAGACATACTTGTGTATTAGGGAGGATAGATAGTTGGGATTAGCATTTTGTAGAGATTTGAAAGCAAGAACCAAAATTTTAAATTGAGCCCTATATTTTACAGGAAGCCAATGAAGGGACTGACAGAAGGGTGAGGCATGGGAGGTGCGGACGGACAGGAAGATGAGCCTCACTGCCGCATTCATTATGGACTGTAAGCAACACTTGAGGGAGGAAAGACCAGAATTTCAGTTTTGGTCAAGTTGAGTTTAAGGAAGTGGGCAGTCATCCATTAGAAATAGCAGAGAGGCAGTATTGTAGATATTGTTAACAGCTGACTGAAAATGTGAGGCTAAAATAATAACAAAAATAGCTTTAGGAAAAGTTGGCAGTTGTCAGATTTAAGGAATAAACCACTTAAATTGTTTCTGAGAGGTTTCAGAATATATTATAATAACTGCTCTTAAATCTGTTTAAATAGAAATTATAATCCTCTGTCTGTTGCTTTTACCTCTTCTCAAAATGCCTGTTTAAATATACGTATATATTTTAAAAACTTGTAGATGCCATCTCTTACATTTTCAGCAGAATTTAACTGAGATAGTTAAAGAACAATTATTTCATTTAGGACATAAACCATTTTGGTTGTCGATGTCGTGTAACTCATTTCGGCCACTCAACCATGAGGTTCACAGGGAAATTGTACTGTTGTTCTGCCTTTCTTTCAGACATTCGAGGAGAGTGCTAATCGGAGGAAAGGCACTATGGACTGTGGCGAATAATCGCTCCCTAAAAGCCAGGGGGCCCCCATTTATTCACATACAGGAACTCCCGAAAGTTGATCGGCTGAAGCCCCTCTTTCTCATTGAACTATTTTGGGCATCTTCCACATGTGTGGCTGGTCAGAACTTTACCTCGATTGTGATTCCCCTACACTACATGGATCTGAGCGCTATTTGGACAACTTGGGCGCTCAGATCAGGGGTATTCAGGGATAAAAGACAAGTGGGGTTCCTGTATGACTTGACTGTGTTTTTGAGTACTTTTTATGTTTGGTTCTCTGTGTCTTTGAAATAATTAATTTACCAGTCCTTTGACTCAATTATCTCTGAGACACAGAATTGCTGGGGCTCTGTCTATAAAATAACTTGTCCTGGAATAAAACTTCATTTGTACTCTCAAAACTGTGTCTTCCAGTTACTGGGAGGGGATAGAGCTATTCACTTTTCAGCGGCTTGTTTCAGAGTTGCAGTTCAGGACAAATTTAGCGACGGTAGTCTTTGCAAGGACTAGAGCTCTGCTATAGCACATCTTGTAACTCACATCACTTAAGCATCATTCACATTACCATAAAGCCATTCTGAACAACGTACAGTGTAGCGGTATTAACCTAGAAAGAAAACCTGAACCTGTCTTGAAAAAGGTTGGTTATTTGTAGACATAAGCGATATAACTGACGTGTTGAATAGTGGTCTTTGCAATGACAGAACCTGATTCTATCCTCACTCCTTACCATGACCAAACAAGGATGAACTCAATTCAGTGGGGACAATGACATATTTTATTTTAGACAAGACTATAAACTCTTATAGTAG